TCTGGAAAAGTTTCACGACTCCTACACACTCTGAAGGATCCCAGACCTGTGAAAAGGCCTTTCAGCTGGAGCTGACCTTCAAATAGGTATCCTTAATAAAGCCACCTTATTGGGGAAGTTCTGTTTCCAAACATAGCAAGAATAATAGCAATGTTTTAAAAACGTGGATGAGAGGAAACGGGACAGCCCTTTCTTTATAAAGAAGCAACTGTATCAAAGCCACATTAAAAAAAAAAATCAAGTATGCTTTGCAATTAAATAAAGGCCCCGGCAGGAAATGAATGCTTTTCCCCTAAATGTGTCCTATATTAAGGACACAAGGGGTCAAAACGTCACGAGAAGTGGCACCCTGTCACAAAAACCCACAGCGGGCTTCCGAGCCTCTGGTGCCCAGGTGGTGGGCAAATCCATTCCCTACCCAGTCGCTCGATGCATGCAAGTTCAGCCTCCAACATGCTGCCCCCCCCCGCCAAACGGTAGAGCCGGGAAGACATTCGGGAAAAAGGGGTTGGGGGAGCCAGCTTACACGAGCCCTAATGCAACACTCCGTAATTCTGCACCTGATCGGCCCAGCTGCAAGCGGACTACGCTTCTCGGCTGTCACGAGGAGCCGCCAGCAAGCGGTAGGAGGGGCCCTCGGGGCCCTGGAGTCCGGCCCTGCTCCGGGCTCAGCGCAGGAATCCAAATGGAAGTATTCCCAACCATTCCCAATTCCCACGCAGATGTTTAAGCTGTTGTCACAGGCCCACTTGGTGAAGCCAAGCCAGGATACTTCCAACACATTTCATGCAGGTGGACCACAGTCTGTCCTAGCCCCAAAACACGCACACCACGCGGTGGCGAAATCCTTATACCGATGGGATTTCATCAGCGCAGGAGGGAAGGGGAGTTTCAATTCATTGGCATCCTTTCCTCACTCAGGATCAGACTCGCCCTGTTCTCTGCGTAAGGTTAACAGACCCTAAATTCCTTGTTTCCAAAGCTAAACACATCTAGGCCACAACGCTGCACTGGAAGACTGTGTGTTTCTGAGCAATATTAGTGTCTTTAGCACAATGGCCAGTCTTCTTTTGCACAAACTTCTGCGGAACACGCATAATTAGAGCAAAACCCACAACCAAACTGGGTTTATGTGTCATAGCAGGCTATGTTTCATTTTGACCTAATGCTTTGTGAGTACCCAGCCATTATGCCCCATTCAATGAACCAAGCTTCAAATAAGCCATGCCTTATCATGGCATCTGAACTGAGACACAAAAAATATTCATTTCAATTTCCTTCCTTCCTTCCTTCCTTCCTTCCTTCCTTCCTTCCTTCCTTCCTTCCTTCCTTCCTTCCTTCCTTCCTTCCTTCCTTCCTTTCTCTGTCTCTCTCTCTCTCCTTCCTTCCTTTTCTTTTCTTTCTTTTCTTTCTTCACAACTGAAATTAAGTGAATGCCAGAAAGAGAGGGATGTAGAGACACGTTGGATCAATCCGAGAGCATCATCACAGGACAGAAGGTTAGGAATTGGATGGGAGTCCATGCAGAAATTCAGTTAAAAAGACGAGGCAGCAAGGAAAAGATGAAGAATATGGAAAGAACCAGGGTACATTCCTGCATACATAAACACTGAACCAAATGTCTACATTTTACATTTTCTTTCAAGACCAGAAAAAAAAACCTTTTCAAAGCTGTTAGTCAACATCCAGTAAATTTGCATTAGTCCATGGCAGCACTGCAAGAATTTGCAAGAATTAACTTAGGAACCAAAGGGGAGGTCTGGGAGACAACAATTTGAAATTACTGTGTCGATGTTTTGGAAAAACTGGCAACCTTTTAAAACTTTATCTTTGAGCATCAAAGAGAAACTCGGCAATGGCCTGGATCAAAGGGGTTGGCATCAGCTTTGTAGACCTGACTGGGGGGCTGCAGCTCCAGGGTCCCTGAGTCGCCGCCTAGCTTGGGCAGAGGGCCAGAGGCCCATCTTCCACAGCCCGGGAGAGACCCGCAAGATTGGACTGGATGCGAAGAGGTTAATTCTCCACAGGAGTCTCTCCTTTTTACCCCTCACCCTGTTGGAATTTTTGCTTCCGGAGATAAACAATTGTGGTTAGAAGCAAATGCAGTTTCCACATTCTCGCTGTACCCCAAATGCGGTTTTCTGCTGCTTGTGTTCCCCTTTGTTTTGCCTTACACCGATGGAAGGAATGTCCAGCAGACATCACTACGCTGAGCAAACGTCAAGGGAGCAAGGCGGAAATGCCGCCAAGGCCAGCGCAACCTTGATGAATGAGCAAGCGCCACTGTTTGCGCGAGGCCTGAGGCTGTCGTGGAGTCTGGAACGTGCCTCGCGTCCCACTGATAGGGCTGTGGAAGATGGGCCTCTGGCCCTCTGCCCAAGCTAGGCGGCGACTCAGGCACCCTGGAGCTGCAGCCCCGCAGTCAGGTCTACAAAGCTGATGCCAACCCCTTTGATCCAGGCCGTTGCCAAGTTTCTCTTTGATGCCCAAAGATAAAGTTTTAAAAGGTTGCCGGGAAAAGACTGGGGTGCCAGCAGCCCCAGAAAGCAGAGAAAGGCTTTCCGGCTGCTGGATTTCTATCCCCTCCTCAGCCCAGGGAGATTAGATCATTCTGGCAGCATCTCCGCGCCATGGGACTCTACTTACTAAACCCCCAGGCCTAATGGTTTCCTCATTTCTGGCTTCGCCCCAGGCTCTGTAAACCGTGGTCCCGGTTGCGCAAACCCAGCCACAGCCTGGCCTGCTGTGGGAAGACAGTTAAGAGGGTGTGAGCGGGACAGTCCTTTCCCAGGGCCAGCCCACCTTTGCCTCTGCTTCAAACCAGCCGCCCTTTAGCGTGAAACAGCTTTACAGGGACAGCTTTCGGCCTTAGGCAGTTTTGATGGATTGCTGTGCTCAGGAGACCCCGCAGGGGGAGAGTCCCCTTAGTCCAGGCTACCCAGAAACCAAGGAGTCGGGAGCGGCGGTGCCGGCCGGCCAATATGATGAAGCGGCTCCAGCTTCTGGGAGCTCCTTCAGGGGCTGGGGCGCTTCAAACCGACGCAATTTCTTAAACCGAGGCAGGATCATTTCCCGCTCCTCGCAGCCGATGATACGAGCTGCAACCGGCAAAGCTTTTGGCAACGCGTCTGCCTCTTCCTAAGATTTGCCAGCCACCAAAGGTGCCCGGGCGAGCCCCGGTTTTTGTTCGCCGGGCGGCGGCGGCGGCCCATTCGGGAAAGTCCTCCGAAGGCTCCCACCCGGGCCCTGCGCGGCGCAGACGGCCCTCAAGAGCGGCGAGGGGCTGCGGGGCGCTCGGAGGGACGGGTGGCTCCCCCAAGGCCCACGACCTCCTCTCCCGGCCAGAAACGGCCCTCCACGCCCCCGGGGACCCTCAGCTGAGGG